GGGCGGGCAGCTCGCGGCCTCGGCTCTGGGCGGCCTTGAGCCACGGGGCAGTGTCCGCAGAGCGCGGAGGCGTACGGGAACGCGGAGGATTTGCAGGCACGGGGCGGGTGGCGCCGAGGAACGAGCGGCGGCTCTCAGTTCGCTGGAAAATCGGGAGTAGTTTGCCCTCCCCGAGGTGACATACCACTGCGTGTGTTTGCAGCGTGACAAGGTGTAAATGCTGAATATCTGCTGCGGAGCCCAAATCCTCCCCGAGCACTGCTGAAGGGGCTGGGGTTACAGCCCCAGCGCCCGCGCGGGGTCAGAGACCCCAGGCTCCGGTTTGCGGTGGGAGCGCTGCTGCGGACCTGCCAGCCGGCCGCAGAACCTCCTGCGTGCAGTTCCACATCACGGCATGTTGATAGCAAAACCATTTTAGGTCTTTAATTAAATGCGCCATGCCCCAAGTTGTTTGAATTTGTTCTAGTAGACCTCAAAGGGGAGGACTATGTAGAGTTTTCAATTAATTTCTGTTTCAGAGCTCTTCTGTTTTGAGGCTTTTTGGTACCTTGTTACCTGGAGGGGGGAAAAAAAAAAAAAGATATAGTCAGGCAAGATAGCAAAACCTTGAAAAAGTCCTTTGAACAGACATTTCACTTTAGAAACCATTTTATTTTGTTAATTTAACATTTGATTTTGATTCCTCAATTTAATCACAGATTGGGCTTTTTGAATTTGTAAGGAGTTTAAGCAGAAGAAAGCTGGTGACACAAGTTGAGAAATTTTGTAAGGATGTTATTTGCATGTAAAATAGAGAATCCTCCTCCTATTCATAGTCCTTCTCTTGCTAGGTTCCGGTTGGCAAATTCCCACCTCCCTGCACATGCCTCTGACAATGTCTCCATTTTATTTTCCATTTGAGCGTGTACTTGATGCCTGTGAGATGTGGCTCACTGCAAACGCAATGATGTTTAGAAGCTATTAAAGCAGTGGGATGCCAGAATACATCAAGTGACAAAACCAACAATTCGGTCAAGGTCTACACAGGCACAGCAGGCCATGAGTTCATCCTGACGCGAGGCTGCAGCTGGCAGGGACAGGTCAGCCAGCCAGCTGATTATCCCAAAATGGGGCAGAACACCAGCTGCGGGATAGCCAGATGATATCAAAGTCTGGCCTCCCTCTCTGTTTCTTCCTCGTGACCAAACATACAAGGAAGTCAGGACATGTTGAAACTAGCCTCCTTTTTCAACTGGTTTTATCATTATCGCCCATGAGTGATTACCATCTTAGGCAATGGAAGCATAAGGTCTACTAATGTGCCTGTTTCCTAGTAGAAGGCATTTTGAACCTAAAATCATGATGTTCACCGCATATTTGTTTGCCTTTGGCACTCTTAGTATAGTTACCTATTTTACTGTGTTAAGTATACATCTTGCTAGGAATGTGCTTTGCCTAGAAGCTGCTTTACTGGTGAAACATTAATAAACTACTGAGGTTTTTTCAAGATTTAACGTCCAATGAGCTTGATGGCTGATCAAAAAGATTTAAGGTCTGCTATGACAAATCATTTCAGCATAAAGGGATTTTAAGTAGAAAGTACTCATGTACCAATAATGAACAGCGTCATCCTCAAATCAGTTGTCATACCAGCACGTACACAAAATTGTCTTACTGTGGCAAAAATGCAATATCTGATATCCCTGGAACATTATTTCAGAACATCTTTAGGAAAATCTGATAATAGAGAATAGTGCAAATTATATTGTTATTTTAAGTTTCTAGAAGGAATGTTTTTATGTATTTTTACCTAGCGCAGCCTAAAGCCACACAAGTGCTAGTATGTAAAGCAGAAATATCCTGGAAAACAGTTCCTCTGGCTTCACTGGTATCCACTGATACTACATTTAGCAGATGTAATTTCATAGGCACTCTTTCTTGCACGGGGAGTGGAAGTGGAATGCGTGGCTGCTGTTTGGGACCTCAAACACATACGGAATACCAGGACTGTCAGCAGAGAAATAGTTGTGTGGTTGTAGCGTGGTTCATGACTGTTCTTGGCAGTCCTTTGGGACCAAAGACAGCCAAGTGCAGGTTAAGGCAAATATTATTCTCTGCTCCAGTTGCTGCATTTTTCCACAACCCCAGTCCTGGGGTATGTAAGGCACCTCTTCCCCCTGAGAAGGACAACATTGCTTACCCAAGGGTCAGCATATTCACCCAATTGATGGCAATTTTTAAACTTCCTTTCAGTATTGTCTTACAAAGAGTAGTTCAATATCCATTTGTGACAAAGCTGGAGTCATGTGCAAAATTCTAGGAGTCTTCCAGTTTCCTACTAAGAAAGGCTAAGCGCTGTGGCTGTGCATGCCTCTGCTCTCTCAAAGGTATAGCTAACTTGCTGGAGATGGCTCAAATGAATATAGAAAATGTCTTCAAGCCAAACTAGATGTAAGATTATCTATAAAGCATGTTTAATTTTTCATCTCCAACTTAGATGACTTCTTTCTTCAATATATTCTGCTAAAATGCAGAGCTTATCTCACTTGTACTTAAAATTTGTATAGCATCACAAGTGATTTCAGGAAAAAGGGAAAATCTGAGAAAATCTGTTATTTGGGAATGACTGTCCTAATGCAAGCATACTACTTTATTCCATTACCATAGTATAAGCATTCCAGCACAAGGTCCTTCTATATTCAGCTGGGCTTCGGCATTATGCTTCAAGGGCCAGTAGGTAGGCTGGGAATACAGGAGACTTTAGTTGGGAGAAAAGTCTCCCCACAGCAAGAGTTACCTAGACATATGTGTGGCACTCCCTAAAATGTAAGAGAGAAGGCTGGAGAGCGAGACGTCCCCTCCAGATGAAATGATTAAAAAAAAAAAAGTATTTTTGCTAAAAAATTTAAGAATTTGACTGCCTTTCATACTTCTTGTGTGCCAGAAGATACAACTGTTAACTTAATGGACCCCAAATACTTTTGTATGTCTGGTTGTTTTCAAAAACAGATGGTGCTGCATTGAAAAATAAACCTTTCTGATGTGATGCAAGAGTTACCTCAAATGAAACTCCATGAGATTATTGCACTGATGATAATTCTTGGTGGGATCATATCTCAGCAATGTGGAGGTTACTTCAACATTTTTCTCTCCTCTTCAATTACTGCTTATGAGAAAAAGAAAATATTGCTTTGCTTAAAGAAAAAAGGTTCTGGTTACAAAATACATAGAAATTTTTGTAAAATTAGCTTTCTGTGTTTTTGTGTGTGATTAGAATACTTGGCAATGGAATGACTTTATTCCTTTTTGTTGCATCATTGCATAAATTATTTTGCACATACAGATCCATGCAGACCACATCACTGTAATAATTAATTTCAGATGAAAAACAAGGTCCACCATTATTTCACAATTTAATTTGGCTTATATGCTAACCTGTGAGTTGGAGATGATTACTAAGTCAGTTCTTAATTTAATGTATATGCATCCAGTAAATGCTTTGTCCCCATGCAGATGGAGTGTCTACTGTATCGAACAAATTTTTACAACCTTGAGTATCAAAAAATTAAGAGAGTTCACTGAGCATGTCTACTTCTTCTTAAACTGGCTTATTTAAAAATGACATTCTAAAGCTTTTATATTGTTTAGCTCACACAGTATCGATGAATAGTCAGACTGAATGAATAATACAAAAAGTAAATAGATTATTCACTCTACAGTTTCCCAGGTATCGCATCTAACATGTGAATGAATGTCAAATCTAGGAAATGCAGGTTTGATTATAGCACCGTTATATAGATTGACTAAAAAGAAAAATAAAAAATACAGCCACCTTCATACAAAGCAACGTTCCAGCAGATCAAAGCAGATCAGAAAACTAGGTTACAGATAGTATTAACAAGTGGAAATGTTCTACAGACGCATAGTGGATTACATGTCTTATGCAAACTGAAATTATGGTTCTAATTCTGCAGCTTTTAATTACATGAATAGTCTTCACACATGTAATTTCTCACTAAACTGAATAGAGATGGTTTAAATGAGTAATGATTCAGACCAGTCCCTCTAGGACCCAGAAGTCAAATGTGTATTTATATATAAAGTTACACATGCAACTAGCCTATTCCATTAAGTTGCTAAGGGAGTATCATGTTTGGTGTGTCTGGCGCTCCTCAGTCATTTAATATGGTGTAAATAGTTAAATATTTTCTTTTGTCAGCTCTTCTTATTTCCACCTTTCCCACTTGTTTTTCCCCCAACGTTTATGCTATTTATGTACATATTCTTCCAGATCATGCAAAGGAATTGCATTTGATTTTTTTTTTTTCTCAAGACAGTTACACATGGCTGTATGACCTGATGTTTACTATTCTTAAAAAAAACCCACGAATTTTGAAGTCACGTTTTAGGCTATGCAATTCCTTAATGCTGTGACACATCAATGAGTTCAACTGATTATGTTCTTTGAACATTTGTGTGCGAGAGACGGACTTGACGGATCATAGCCTTTAGTGATTATTTTAATGCATAGTGGACAACTGGCCAAAAATAACAGACCACATATTTGTACTGTGATTGTGACTTCCATTTCTGTGCACTTGAATTAGAACTAGCTTTTAGAGGATGTGTTAGTTTGTTTAATTTGGTGGAGACTTTATTAGTAAGTATGTGATAGATGATGTCATGCAGTACAGTGTAAATAAAAGAAAACATACAGTTCGATCAAACAAAACAAACCAAAACAAACCACCTTACCCTGTGGAGGCTCAAGAAATTGATTTCTAACATGTAGGAAAACCACAGTAGATATTCTGACAAAATTACTGGAACCGAGCAATAAACATAATTGCTTTTGCTGACTAGCCTCTGTGGGTGACAGATTTTCAGAGATGCTGTATTTTCATTTGTATTTGCCTACGTGGCTTCTCGTCACATTGCTTCCAGCGTGAAGTGCTTGTGCTTGGCTGCATGAGAAGATGCAGAAGAGCCTTCACACTCGTTAAATGCCACGTGACTTTTCTCCTCTCCACAGGTTTAGTCAGTGGTAGCTGATTAAGCTGTACTTTCAACGGCATCGCGTACCACAGCAGCAAGCCATCAGGGTGGATGGCAGAATCCAGCCTTCTGGGACCACCTTCTGCCAATAGCAAGTCCCTTGTCGTGTGAAACAGAGAGAGAAAAGGGGCGTCTGTTGTAAAATTGGTATCGATGTGTAGCAAATAAAAATATTTTTACTCTTATTTTGTGTTGAGTTAATCAGAGAATGGATGGTCTGTTTCACTCAGGGATATTTTATATGCTCTGTCCCACTGGATATACAATACCACCTTCCTATAGAGAAGCTATAGTTTAATGTTGTGAGGCTATTATATTTAACAAAAAGCATACTTTGCCAACATAAGATGAAGACCTATTTACTACATGCATCCATCTC